GTGTTTTGCAGGAAGGGCACCTCCGAATGGCAAAACAGTCAACCTAACCCAGCATCTCTGAGCGAAGTATGGATTCAGCACAGCGCCTTTTCAGAATCGTAAGAACTGAATAGTTACCTTGGAATAGCAAAGCAGTCCACCTCAGAGTAAACGTAAATCACCGTTATCACTTTTCTTCAGTTATGGTCGAGACTATTGGTTGACTGACTATGGAATGCGAGCTCCTCTCCGTTTCTGCAAAATTTCACTTGGTATTGTTTATTATGTTTCTCATCCTTTCTATCTCCGTTTACTGACCTGCTGATCTTACTCATTGTATTGTCCGACTTTATAAATGGGATTAAACCGCAACTTAGTTATTTCGCCCTACCTCCAAGCCTTTGCCTATTATGTTATCTTCTTCCGTAACCTACCTTATCATGGCAGTTTGTGCTAGCTTGCGTATTGTCTGCCTTACCGCCCCTCATCGGTTTCTATGCGTCTAGATCTAGAACAGGTTCCTCCCCACCTCCGACAAGAATTCAAAATCATGCGCGATCTGGACCATAAAGTTCAGGAACTCTTAAACGAAACCCAGGTCAAGACTAACCTTCTCATCCAGCAGTCCAATCAACTGTCTCCCGAGGAACGCAGCCGACGGATCCGGGAAATTCAGGAGCTCTTCATCAAGGGCCGAGAGATCAGCAACGACAAGGTCTCGAGGGCAGAAAATGTCTATGAACTGGTTGATAAGCAGATACGCCGGCTGGATGCGGACATGTTTGAGTTCAAAAAGGCTCTGGGTAGGCTTTTGTTGGCTAATTTTTGGCTAGCATTAACATTTTAGCTGAAAAGGAATTGAAGAAGCTTAAAAAGTCCCAAAAGAAATCGGACACAACCGGCTCCAGCAAGTAAGTCTGACTTTTTCTTATCCCTTCCATCACTTTTATACGCGCAACTACCTGACCTAACTGATAATTAATGAGCGCAGTTCTCAAAGAAATAATAAACTGTGGGCCAAGAGATAAAAGGTTTTTACCAATTAACTATCGGTCTATGGGCATACTGAGTTTATTTCTGTGAGATCAATCAAAGCAATGACTTGGGAATTATATTGGCCCACTATCTTACTTCTTATATAACCCCAGAGTTAAATCGAGCAGATGTCGCCAAAAATTCTACTTTGCCTTTCGGATTTTAAAAATCTATTTTTTATCCAACCTGCTCTCGGGCACTCTCTCACACATACACGCACGTGAGATCCGGATCGCTCATTCCCTTCAGAGGGAAATCCCGATGCTTGTGCTTGGGGGGGGGACGGGGGGCAGACCGTCTATGTGGTACTCAAAGACAATGTCACTAGCTATGTCAGCCGCTGCGCTCTTTCGCTGCACCAGCCAACTGGTCAGCTCGGACGGTGGCTGAGGCCTTGAAATGAGGATAAAGAGTTAGGTCTAAGTCTCAGCGCATTTCCTCACTGTAAACAATCTGACGCGCTTGAAGCTATCACAGTGCGCTAAAAGCTGTGCCTTGGAAGGTTGCCAACTGACGTGATAACTCGGACCGCGCGATCAGTCCAGTGTGCGTGTGGAATGG